GCACCGGGGCGGGGCGGGTGCGGCGGCCGTTGGTGGCGCGCGGGGTCCCACCTCACCTCAGCTCGCCTCAGCCCGGCCCGGCCGCGGGGAACGGAGGAAAATACAGCCGGATCGGTGAGAAACCGGCCCCTGACTGTTGCCGGGCCGGCGGGGGCTTGGGCCGGCCCTCCAGCCGGGAGGCAGCGGCCGGGCCACCACCGGGCCTGAGCAGGCCAGCTCCGGGGCGCCTGCTGAGCGGCCGCGTCTCCTGCCGGGGTGCCCTCCGCCGCCCCGCTTGCGTGCTGGCTGCTCTGTGTTTCCAGGCTGCGAGTGAAGCGGGGCTGGTTCGGCTACGCTAGTCTCCTTCCTACATTAGTAGTCATAGCGCTGGCTCTTAGGTAGGCCAGGTAAGTCGTGACAGTTACCTGAACCCTTGGTGGGTTAGTTGCAAGCAGAGCATTTTCTGCCTGTTTCTCGTTCATTGTGCACCAGTGCTGGCACAAGAGAAGGTATGCATGTGCACGCATGCAAGAGTTTTGCCAACGTTTCACAGAAATACATTAACTTGGAAAACTCATCTAAAGTTTTGTTTAGCCTTCATGGTTGAGGCGCTGTAAGACAAAGCGAGTAATAAGTGTTTGGCATACCTCTTGTATCCCAGAGTTCCTCCCTTGAGACCCCTAAAACCTGTGTGTGTAAAGGTAAACCGAACATAAGGTCGAGTTTTGTTTTGCTTGCAGAGACAGGTGACGAGGCAGGCAGCAGTAGGTCAGCATGCAAGTTAGCTCAGCAGAAGCCATCTCTAGTTGGTGTCTCATGCATGGCTGTCTTTCACAGCCAGTTTGGTTATTCATTCTCCAGGATGCCTCCTCCTCTTTGCTGACCTCACTTGTGTTTGGCTCCGAAATGTAATTCCACTCAATCCTTTACCTTTTCTACCTCAGACTAGATGGAAAAAGACTTAAAAGGTCAGGCGATGGGGGGTGTGAAAAGTTGAATTTTGGGTCTGCTGTATATTGGTTCCTACAGCATAGGATAGCGTGATGTTCTTGCCAAAAGAACATGTGTAAAACAAAGGGGGGGAGGTATCACACAAAATCATAAATCACACACAACAGAGGTTGTGCAAGCAATGAGATAAAAACATTCTTTCCTGTAAGTGCATGCCCTGCCTTCATCTGGTTTTGCAGCCAAGCCCTGGGTCCATTTGGTTCAGGTTTATGGATCTGCAGGAGTACAGGCTGGCGTCCAAAATGAAGGTACGGTTTTAAAGTATGCATTTAAGCTGAAAGTAAGAGGCACATTTTTCAACTTCAGTTTCAGAGAAAACATAGCTAAGCAACTTGTAGTTGGCTGCATTGAGGTTTGGTGGAAGTGCCTTGACTTGATAGAAGGTGCTGCAGTAATTAGTCTGTTCATAACCGGTCTTGCTTTCACATTCATTGAAATAAAAACGCCATTCTAATAAGACAACAGCTCATGTTGCTGAGCTGAACCCTCGCTTAGGAGTGACTGGGGAGTAAGAATTTCACTGTACTGGAAAATGGAAACCCCTTTCCCACCAGCCCTTCCGTAGTTGTCTCCCATCCAAGCAGCAGCATGGCCTTCTGCCCAGACCTACGTGCTAAGGACCTAGGTAGTGAGAGAGCATTACTTGGCTTTTCAGCAAAGCTAATTTAGCTCTTTCCTAAATTTTATGAAGAGAACCACAAATTGGTTATTTGTTCTTTCTATCAAAACAAGAGCAGGTTGAGAAGTGACCATTACTAGCTGAGAACTGCTTGAATTCAGAAACAGTGATCTCAAAAAAACCACCCCACCCACCCCCCAATTACTGTCTTAGTAAATCCTTAAGAGAAATCAGATGGAATGAATTTTTGGGGGAGCAGGGGAAACATGTTTCATATTGGATTCTGTAATCCAATGATTATTATTTAATCACTTGCATTTGTTTGTTTGTTTATTTCAAAACAAACTACCTGTGATATTAACCGAAGGATTCCAGTTAAGAAAAAAGAGACATTTTTGTTATTACCACTGGAAGTAGTGATATGGATACGTAGCATGGCTAGGCCATTATCACAAGAGATCGCCAAGAGAAATTTCTACAAAAACCCTTAAGCAGGCTGGATGGAGGTTTTCAGATGTGCACTCCCAGTGCAGTTTTAAAGTCAGAAGTACTTGCTTATCTAAAAGTCATTTTCTTAAGTTGCTGATTACGGGTAACTGTAGACTAAAATAATTTCTTGGTTAATGACTGTTTTGGTACTTCAAGATGTATCTAGTAATTGAAGGGAAATTCTGTTGTCGGTTTGGGCTAGACTAGAACTTCAGGTCTGTCAGCATATAAAGGTTATTTTTGACTGCCTGCTCTGCTTTTTAAATTCACACTTTGTCTTCATTTGAGTTAATATTCAGACGGACTTTCATTGAATGGGGTGGAAAAAGAGTTTTTTGGATTTGGAATAGCTATGCAAAGGGACCTTTAGGGAGATGAAATAAGTTATTTGAATCTGAGCAGAAAAGGTATGTGGCTAAGGCTTCTTAATTCTTGGTGTGTATACTCTTTCATTTAAAAAAAAAAAAAAAAAGGAAGCTTTAGTTTAATCCATGTGGTCTGCCACAGGAGTGTGGCGTGGAAGGGATTTCAAGGGAAAGAATCCTTACTTTTGGCATGTTAAACTGAGTAGTAGATCAAAACTTTAAAGTCTTGGCAGTTTGCTTTGTGAGGTATAAAGAAGTGGCATTCTGTTTCGTATACATTTAATGAAGAATTGATGCGTGCTAAATGGAATAAATAGAATTGGAATAAAATAAGTTTAATTATGTTTTTCCAGATTTGAAGGTTAAAGTCAGTGGCATAACTATTGGTACCAAGATGGATCTGTACAGAGCACTTTGGTTTTGCCCATAATTGTCCATTCCGCTCTAAGGAACTTTTGCTCTAAGTAAGGCAAATAACTGGAATTCCAGATAGCCAGTCAGGAGAGAAGTGGTAGTTCTATAGAATCTGTACTGCTTCATGTTTAAGAAACTACTTGAATTAACAGCACTGTAGTATCTGCCAGCAAGAAAAAATGCCATGGTATTTTAGTAACGCACCATTTCAGCAACTATGTGCATTGCTATCTCATAATAAGTGCGCAGGATGAAGAACTGTTTTGTACAGCCAGCCTCACAGGAGAGCTGTGTTCAATGTTAGGCTGGTAATTTAATTTTTTGGTGATATATGCTCTGGAGTGCTGTGAGGATGGGGCAATAAGTTTGTGTTCTGTTCACAGATGCTGCCTGCTGCCCATGGCTTTCAGGGATGTGAATGCAAGAAGACATATTGGACTTCAGCAGCTCTCATCCTTAGCATCAGCTGGAAGAACATTACTGGGGCCGATGAAATCATGTAAATTCATTGTGGATGAAAGCACCAACCAAAGCACGCTGATTTGTTCTGCTGTTAGACTGATTGAAAGTTTGGATTTAACTAGTGCTGCCGGACAGCTTCTTAATGAAACCATTCAAGCACAAAACAAGGAGTTTAAGACTGGGATGAGTACCCTGTTGTTTCTCACTGGTGCATGGAGCAGTGCGGTACTGGAGTGCCTCCAGCAGAATGTTCCTGTTTCGGCAATAGTATCCGTGATGTCTGAGGGGTTGAACTCTTGCTGTGACAGAGTCCAGTGTCTTCAAGTATCAATACATGATGTAAATAAAGAGCTGTGTTCTAGCAGTGTTGGGCCAAACGCTTTTACAAGCAAAACTTGCCAAATTGGACGTGACAGTCTTCCAAATCCTCAGAGTTTCCTGTATTTTCAGAAAGATATTTCTGTACCAGAAGAAGTAATTCCAATAAATTCTTGTTCCCATCAAGAAGATGATTGTAATTTTAACAAGTGCCTGGTTTCACCTCTGGCCGGCTTCGGTTCGGTAACTTCTCTTGCCCAACCAGCGGGTGACAAAAGTACATCTGTGATTTCTGGAAGCGGTGTTGTCATGTCCAGCTGTAACAAACAGAAGTTAACCTATAGCAGATACTTCAGCACTCTAGGAGAAAGCCATTTTTCAAGTCAGCAAGGTAGTTTTCAGGGATACCTCTCAGGACAATCAGCAGATCCATGTGAATGTTATGGTTTAGGACACCTGGCAATGACTCTGAGCCATGGAAATCAGACTAGCATGAAACTGCTACAAAGCATTGTTGCGTATCAACAAGAGAGAGCAGAATGCAGTGGCTCTTCCCAGTTTAAAATTGCAGAAATTGTGACGTGCTGTTTACTGGGCCTGCCTGAAAGCTATTCTGGTATCTCCCCAGGCTTTGTCACATTAGTATCACCAGAACAAGCCACAGTTCTCCAATACTTTGAAGACAAAGCCCTTCGGATTCTGCTAATGGATGGTGACCTAACTGAACGATATCGTCACTTAGGTTTTAATAGACCATGTAATGTAAGGACCATATTGGAGCATCCTAGCCTACAGGAAGGCAGAGCAGGAGACTTGTGGCTAAGCAGTACGTTAGATATTCTGACAAGCTTTGAAGTAAACTTGGTTTTGGTCAAAGGAAACGTATGCGAAAACTTAATGGAAAGATGCATAGCAAACAGTATATTGGTAATTGGTTCTGTGACGGGGGATGTGTTGTCTGCCTTCGGGGAGGTCACCAGCAGCCAGCCAGTGACATACCTCACCCAGCTGAATGCCGCTTGTGTGGGGAGCGGGGCCCAAGTGGAGCTGTGGAAGGCCTGCGATGGGCGTGCCATGGATCTGGGTGAGCTTGTGCCAGTCAGGATAAAAGCGCAAGGAATTCCCTTGCTCACGGCTGTGCTTACCACTACTGTAGCTTCAAAGATGCAGCTCATTGAAGACCAGTTCTGGACTTTAGTGCATCGACTCCATCACGCTTTAAATGACAAGAAGGTTTTTCTTGGTGGTGGTGCAGTGGAGCTCTTGTGCCTTAGTCACATTCAGATGCTTGCAGAACAGCCTTTACAACCAGGAAATAAAGATGCCGTGAAAGAGTTTCACAATCCTTGGCTGGCAGCATCGGCGACAGAGTATAAATCAGTTGTGCTCCAAGCATTAGCAAGCGGCTGGAAGCAGTATCTTTCAGTGGTTATGTGTAACACTGCAAAAGCTGCATCGGAGTTGGAAGCATGTACCTCAGTTGATCATCACCTCAAAAAAGCAGCTGACTGTGGCTCCCCCTCAGCATATATACTGAAAGAGTTTAGAAGAGGTGATCTGCTCAGGGGTGGTTCTGGTCCCTTCGCTGACCACAGAGAGGGTTTAAAGGTTTATGATAATGTTACAGCCAAGACAGAGGCATGGCGGAGAGCTCTAGACTTGGTGCTACTAGTGCTTCAAACAGATGCCGAAATTATCACAGGTCCCAAACGGAATCAGCTATTGAACTCACATGTGTCAAGTGAATTTATGTTTTTATAGGACTTGCAGGCTTTATTTATAAGTCCGTGAGTCAGTGGAAGGC